GTGATTACTTAAAATCAATATGACATCAACGCATAAACAAATAAATATTATACAATTATCACATAATTTGGGATACAAGCATTCATCCATACTATTATGTTTGAAACCAAATGAAATAACTGTTAAGTCAATTTTCTTATGTCATTTCTTAAGTGCTTGCTTTAAATCATATAATGATTTTACTAACTTACACACTATGTCTTCATTTTCGGGGTAAAATAAATCCTTTAGGCTGTTTTATATAAACCTCCTCATCGAGGTCCTCATTTAAGAATACTATTTTGACATCCATTTGATGAACATGAAAGTCATATATGGATACAAATGCAAATAATATCCTAGCTAATGCGAATAATATCTTAATTGATGTTATTCTAGCCAGTGCATATATATCGAAATAATATATTTCTTCCTTTTGTCGATAACTTTTAGCTGCTAATCTAGATTTAAAGGTATTAAGAGAACCATCTATATTATATTTTCTCCTAAACACTCATTTGCAACAAATAGGTTTAGACCCGAGTGGTAAATTGACAAGTTCCCACATATCATTTGACATAATTGAATATATTTCTTCTTTAATTGCATGTTTCCAAAAGATACTATCACGAGAAGCGATAGCTTCTCTATAGGTTTTAGGATCGATTTCTACTTGTAGAATAGAAAGTATTGTTCTTACAACATTCCTTTCATTTCCCTTTACTAAGTAAAGTGAAATAAGTTCATAATCAATTTCATCAGATCCTCAAGTCTTTCCTATACAAATTCTTTTGCCTCTTTGAGGTTCACTAGATTCATTAACATCTTTAGAAAATGTTTTATCTTGTGTTCCACTAGAGCTAGGATCCTCTTTATGAGTTTCTCTTAATTCATTTTCCGAAGATAGAGTATTCTCAAAGAACTCCACATCATTTGATNAATTTCCCTCAATTCATTATCCGAAGATAATGAAGTCTCAAAGAACTCCACATCATTTGATTCAATTATCACAGTCTCCAAATTCAGTAATGTTTGTGATTTACTATTACTAGCATATACAACAAATGGACATTTGATGCCTACTGGACCCAATTTGGTCCTTTTAGGATCCACGTTCTTACAATATGCAAGACACCCCCATATTTTGAAGTATCCAATATTTGATTTTCTTCATTTTCACAATTCATAATGAGAAACCTTTGTAAATTTTGAAGGAATCATATTTAATATTCAACATGCATTTAACAAGGCTTCACACGACAAGTTAAATAGCAATTTAGCATATGTTAACATGACATTTATCATTCAACTAATGTTTTTTTTTTCCTTTCAGACAAACCATTTTGTTCAAGTGTCCTAGGTGCAGAACATTGATGTACTATATATTGTTCACAAAATGAATTAAAATCACTAGAGGAGTATTATCTTCCTATATCACTTCTAAGTGTTTTTATTTTATTATTTAAGTGATTTTCAACTCCATGTTTAGAAGTCTTAAACATGTCAAATGCTTCACGTTTATGTTTCATTAAATGAACATAAATTTATCTAGAGTAATCATCTATAAAGGTCGTGAAATATCTATTTTCATCCCTAATTAAAATGTCATTAAGTTCACATATCTTCGAATGAATAAGTTCTAAAATTTGAGAAGTCTATTCACACTTTGGTAAGGCTTCTTAACCATTTTAGATTCAACACATATTTTACATTTATAAGTATCATTCATATTTTATGAAATTACATCACAATTAAGCATTCATTTCATTGTATACTAGTGCCTATGTGAGCAAAATCAACTTTATTATTATTAATATTGTCAAAAGTACACAATTTGACCATTTCTTCACTTGAATAACCATTTTTAACAAATTTTCCATTTCGGGATAATATAAATTTTTTGAATTCATAAACACACTTTATACCTATTTTTTTCCAAGAGATCTCTACTAACTAAGTTCCTATTCATTTTTGGACTATGCAGTACATTTATTAAGGTAAAAAAAAAAATTCGAAAGTGAAAATGTCCACATTTCATTTTCTAATCACTTTGGAGCGGTTTTCATTACCCATTTGTATCTCTTGCTCTCAATTTGATTTATGATAAATTTTATCATATGATACATGAATACACATGTATCATACCACCAAATAGGGACTTTGTCATTGATAGCATTGATTTCACTTACAGTAGCCATACTATCTTCATCAATGGAGTTAATATTTTCTTCTTTCTTGTTTTGTTTTCTATGTCGACATTCCTTTGCAAAATGTCCGGATTTTCCACATATAAAACTTTTTCCCTTGGACTTCTTAAACTTGTAAAAGTTTTTAAAAGTTTTTTTCTTGTTTGATTTGTTGGAGGCTGGATCTTTTCAAGGGCATTGGCTTTTGATGTGCTTTTATAAAACTCTTATCCCTTGCCTTCGATTCTTTCTCAATTCGGAGATGTTTTTGAACTTGTTCCAAAGAATAATCTTCAAAACTATGAAGAATCTACTTTTGATATCCTTTTCAATACCTGAGAGTTTAGAAATAATTGCTCGCACTTGGAAAGATTTCGGAAGTTCAATCTTGACCATCTTTAGTTTATTGACGAGTACTTGTAATTCATGCACTTTGGGGAGAAGAAGAATGTTTTAAAGGAACTTAAAATCGAAATACCTTGATTTCAAGGATTTCTTGTACCTTCTTCTTTGACTTTGTATTTGTATTTGTTCTCTAATGCATCCCAAATATCTTTTACCGAGAATGTGTTGGTGTATAGATCATACAACCAGTCGAATGTGTGATGAGTACGTGACCGCGACAAATTAATTCATCTTCTCGACGCTTTTACCTTTCGACTCTTACAACATCGGTATCTCCATTTGTTGGTTCTGGTAATGATGCCAAATTTGGATCAATGATGTAAAAAATCTTCAACGTCATGAGAATGAACTTCAACTTGTCTTGCTATCGAGTGAAATTTGTTTGATCAAATTGATCCAAGCAAACAAGGTCTTGATTCATGAGTTTGATAGTGACCATGTAGTTTCATTCTCCATTAGAGACAGCGTTTGAGATTATTGGAATATTATCTTTCAACTTGAATGGAGAATAGGACAAAAGGAAGAATCAAGAACACCAAAATATGGTAGAAATGCTCAAACACGAGATTTAATTTGTGCTTAAGGGACTCTTGGCAAATGATTTGTAGAATTGATCAAGCCTTAAGGAAGAAAATGCTTAAGCACTTTTATTTATTTTCTAAAATTTGAATAACACTTTTGAATGTTTGAATATGAAAATAAATTGAATTTAAATGCACTATAATATGGTTTTGATTGTTGATTTGTTGTTTTTATAATTGGAATCTATCACCTATTTATATATTTCAATTCACCATTTACAAAATAGTACTAATCATTCATGAAAAGTTGCCTAAAATTAAACCAGAAAAAAAATCAGCCAATAGCTATATTTTTGTCCTATGCCCATGCACCGCATAACCATGCCCACACATGGCCTGAGCCCTGACGCTTCAGTACTTGAAAACAGTGAGCATGGCAATTTTGTCTCCAAAATTTTTTTTCTGCGTTTGATTGCATCAATTCATTCATACTTTTATACATACTCTCCAATTGATTTTGAACAAATACAACATTATCTTACCCAACCCGTGGGGTCTAACACCACCTCCTATTTACGTGTTGTGAAGCCTGAGGTAAAATAGAATCGACACTACTTTGGTAACTTTATTGGCAAAGTTGAGGGATTGTATCACATTTTAATGTGGGTTAGCGAAAGCAATATAATCGTAAAACGAACATGTTATTAATTTTTTTGTTGCTTTCAAAGGAATAATGCTTCACGATCACCTTTTAATTTCAGTTGATTCCTAAAAATATCAAAATCTAGGCATAAAATACTATTTGATTCGTGTAAGAATACAGATAATTTTGACTATTTGATTTTAAATATCAAGTATCAAATAATTTAAGAGATTGAAAAAAACTCCAAAATATATTTTATTTCAATTCAAAAATTTCCTTTTTCCCATTAAGGCTTGCAATCCTTACTTAAAGCAACAAATAAAAACTAGATAAAGATTAATAACTAAAAGTAATGAGAAATACTCAATCTTCATCAAGACTAATTCTAGCTAAAGACTAAAATTAATGATGAAAACTCAACCCTCTTGAACTTTGATAGCGTGTTCTTTTATCGTTTTACACAATTATGTAGATCTTAATAAAAGGTGCTTTAGGGAACCAAAGCCTCTCGAACTGCATAAATAAAAGGAAATGATTGTAAACCAGTTCTAAATAGAGATTATGTATCTCAAATCAGAGAGAAAAGTATGTCCACGCTCATGCCGTGTTTATTGAATCGCTTCTTTTAACAAGTCCCTTTCTCCTCTACCCAACTTGGACATGTTCTTTGGGTTGGAGGCGAAAACTAGAAAGTTTATCATTTAGTGGTAGGCTGTTCACAGCCTGACCATTGAGTCCTTTCAAGACTACATTGTTGGTCATTATATGTTTAACCATAACACAAAGTAATGTGATAATAATACCAAGTAATGTTGCATATCAAACTAATCTAGTCAAATGTGTACACAAGTGAACTGAACTTTTTGTTCGACTCACCAAACATACACCAAAATATGGTCATAGGGAATGCACTCAAACTTGCTTAACTAGGAATACTAACAAGATAATCCATCTGCTTGAGAGGGAAGCGCAAAGCAAACAATCAAGAATATCAACTTTTGTAACAATTGTTGTTAACTCAGAAAACGACCATTAGTTATAAAGACCCAATCAAACTAATATTGTCTTTCGGGTTTTAGGAGATCCAATAAGGTATGCTATTGCTCTCAAAAAAACTCCATGTGGAATAAGTCTTACAAGCTAAATGCTCAAAATGAACAAAGGCAAACACCCAAAAAACATACAAAAACTATTGGAATAGAACGTCAACAGTCTTGCAATATCATTCATAATGAACCTGCAACAACATTCAAAATACTAAAACAATTACCGCTTGCCACCACCGCCTCCAAGTTTAGGACCCTTGGGTATAGCACCCTTGGGCACGTTGCTCTTGGAGGCCTTCTGTGACTTGGACATCGACTCAGCCTTCTTCGCCTTCTTCTCGTCCTTGGTCTTCTTTATTCTCTCCTTGATTTCACTGAGAACAAATACTACAAGTCATAATGCGTTCTATTAAGAGCATGTTTTGCTACGCTTAAAGTCAAACCTACTTTAAAGTTTACTGATTTTGCAAAACATAATTTTGAAATTTTCAAAACAAAACTTACTTTTTAAAAAGTCTTACCTTACTTTACCAAGAGTATCTTATAAAGACAGCCAAACATGCTCTAATATATTGCTGAAAGCATACTCTAGCTCTTCTATATTCATGAAAGCATCAAACATTTGAACCCTTAACATACCGTAAAGCAGCTTCACGTGCAGCATCACGAACTTCTGGCTTTTCAGCTCTTTTCTTCTGTATTACTTCCAAGGTTGCACCGACAATTGATCTTGAGTAGGGCTTCTTGGTGGTTCGGCGCCTCTTCCTCACAGTTTCAGCAGCAATGTCCTGTGGATCAGTCAAGTCACAAGAACTATCAGTGACAACAGGATAATTAAGGAAGCCAGTTCATCTCTGATAGGCTCCTATCCACCTCACGCATTCTAGAAGGACCTAGAAGAATAACCTACTAGTAGGTGGAAAACTAGTACGTTAGAGAGTAAAAAATGGCTGGGGAAAACAGTTACAAGTAGCTTATAAATAAAGAAAGGGGGGAAAGGATTGGGCATGCAAAATAGTGAGTGAAAACCGTATTGTGGAGAGTACGGCCCTCTCGAAAGGTTGATTGTATTTCCTTTATTTCTGCAATTCATGCTGCAATCAAAACAATTCTATAATTTCTGCAATTATTCATCTTTTTCATTGAATACTCAGGTGGTTCCTATCAATTGGTATTAGAGCACTCAATTCTAGGGTAGATGGAAACCAAATTCAGCAAGGAATTGGAGGAGAAATGGAGCTCGTTATTCAATCGATTTGATCAGATGATGATGCGACATATAGGAGAAGATCGAGCAAGGGATTCTGGACTGGATTCACATGGC